AAGAAAATGTTCTGTATCCTACTTTGGTGAGTGACATTGGGGGTCTTAAAAGCTTGCAAGCGGCCACCTAAGGTGCATCAATTGGTCCCAGCCACCTGGAGTAAAAGAGAATGAAAAACACCAAAGACACAAGGAAAGTGTTAGCCCAAGAGACAGAAAGGGCCACATAAACTAGAGGCTTCCTCAGCCTGAGACCAGAAGAACTAGATGGTGCCCGGCTACCACCAGTGACTGCCTTGACAGGGAACACAACAGACAGTCCCTGATGGAGTAGGAGAAAGGTGGGGTGCAGAACTCAAATTCTAGTAGAAGACCAGACTTAATGGTATGACTGAGACTGGAGGAACCCCGGAAAGCATAGCCCCTGGATTCTCTATCAGCCCAGAACTAAAACAATTTCCGAGGCCAGCTCTTCAGACAGGGATTGGACCAGACTGTGGGACATAAAGTGATACTCGTGAGGAGTGTGTCTCTTAGCTCAAGTAGATACAAGAGACTAAATGGGCAGCTTCTGTCCAGAGGTGAAACGGGAAGGCAGAGAAGGTTAGGAGCTGCTTGAATGGACATGGGGAATCAGGGGTGGAAAGGAGGAATGTGCTGTCACAGTATCGGAAGAGCAATTAGGGTCACATAACAACGAATGTATAAATTTTTGTATGGGAGACTAACTTGAAATGTAAACTTCTTTTAAACTACAACAATAAAAAATGAAACAAAAGAAGAAGAAATATAAATTCTTGGGTCTTACTCCAGATCTCCTGAATCAGAAATGGGGGATGGGGCCAGGCAGTCTGTGTTTTAACAAGCCTGATGCACACTCAAGTTTGCAGGCCACTGCTCTAAATCATAATGAAATGGTAAAAATTCATGACCTTGAGTGTTGCTTTACCATTTGTAGTTATATTCCAAATCTTGCATATATTATCTATATAAAATTTTCTGTCTTTTCCCCTTTTTATAGTGAAGGAGATGATTCTGTCAATTTTTATTTTTACAGAAAAATTTGAAAACAACCTGAAATCACAGTACTTCTGGAGGCCCAAAAGAATGGAACTTAGTTTTGGAATTCACCACTATGCGGGAAAGGTGGGAACCCTGTAGAATTTTGACTTTCTCTTTAGTTTTTGTCCAATAATAAAGACATGAAAATTATGGACAGAAATATTTATAGATGGTATTAATTAGATAGCCATGTGTTTTTGCCCCCATCTGGCTCTAACTCTGCCCTCCAGCTTCCTACATTCTGTCCCTACCCTTTGCCAGCCACTCACTGTGAAGAAGACCACCCCTCTAGGTCCCTAGAGGCACCTACTTCTAGCATCTACCCTGAAAAGTTATAAAAAATCCTTCTTCTTTTAGTTCAGTAAACACAAGGTTATAGTTTTTCTAGAAGAATTTTTATTAAAAAGCTAAGGGAAAATAAGGAAGAAAAAGACTAGCTTTAAAGAGTCCATCTTTCTGATGTAAGATCTGACTTTGACTGAGATTGACTGGCAATGGATACTTTTTTTTCCCCTTCTCTTAATGATACCCGGTTCAGCTACTAACTGAAAGGCTGGAGGTTCAAATCTACCCAGAGGCACCTGGGAAGAAAGACCTGGCAATCTAATTCTGAAAAATCAGCCACTGAAAACCCTATGGAGCACAGTTCTACTCTGACACCCGTGGGTTGCCATGAGTCAGAACCAACTTGATGGCAACTGGTTTAGTTTTTTGTTTGTTTGTTTGTTTAATGATAGCTGGAGATCTTTTATATAAACTGCTTTTTTCAGATCTTAAATGTTTCTCTCTTCTTTCCAGCCTTTTTCCCTCTCCCCTCCCAATAAGAGAAGATGCCAGGCTGGACCTATGGTCAGATACTGAGACAACCCAGATAGATGGAACTGGCTAATAGACCATTATGCAGTTGGAGAAAGACTGTGTACAGATTGATAGATACACATCCTCACATCAGAGCAAACCTCAGATGCTTTCTCTCCCTTCTGCAGAAAACAATGGGTCATTCTCTCCCAATGATGTTAAAAGTATTGGAGGACTAAGGAGATGTTCAAGAAAACAAATGTATAAAATGAGAAATACATAAACAAAATAAAATACCACAGAACCCTGAGCATTCTAGTCTACTTGGCAACCTCCATATTTCAGTTGGTATTCCAGTTTTTTGTCATAGAAAAAACAATCTACCTTAAATCATTACAGTTTTAGCCAGTCAAAAGGTTGGCAGTTCAAATGCACCAGCCACTCCTTGGAAACCCTATGGGGCAGTTGTACTCTGTCCTATAGGGTCGATATGAGTTGGAATCAACTTGACGGCAATGGGTGTGGTTGGTTTTGGTATAGCGTCTCTCATGATTTTCCGTACATGATTTTCCAAATAAACCTCCTTTGAAACATTTATAACAATTGCCCATGATCACTTTGGAGGTCCTGCTTGGTACAGTTAATGCGCTCAGCTGCTGACTGAAAGGTTCAAAGTTTGAGTCCACCCAGAGGTGCCTCGGAAGAAAGGCCTGGTGATCTAATTCTAAAAAATCAGCTATTGAAAACCCTGTAGAGCACAGTTCTACTCTGACACACATGGAATCACCTTAGTTGGGGTTGACTCGATGGCAACTGTTCATGATCACTTTATCCAGTTGTGTTTCGTGATCGTATAGGATCATCCTACAGAAATCTTTGGATTATGTGGATCTTTAGAAAGTCTTAAAATTATTTAGAAGCAGCAGAAACACAAACACCCACAGTGTATTTAGATCACACTGCCACTCAGATCAGGGTCGCTATGAGTCAGGATCAACTCGACAGCAGTGGGTACCACTCAGATAAGGAGCCCTGGTGGCACAGTGGTTAAGCACTTCACTGCTAACTGAAAGGTCAGTGATTGAAACTCACCACCTGCTCTGCGGGGGAAAGATGTGGCAGTCTGCTTACATAAAGATTACAGCCTTGGAAACTTCATGGGGCAGTTCTACTCTGATCTATACAATCATTATGAGTCAGAATCAACTCAGTGGGTCTGGTTTTTTGGGTTTACCACTCAGATAAAAATGCATAGTGGCAATTCTCTGCAGGTGGCTCAGTTATCATAGAAATGAGAATGTCTTGGTAGCCTCAGTGTGCTCCACCTTCATAGCCCCTCTCAATCCTCCAAATAGAGAAAAGAAATACGCCAAAATTACAACATAATAAATGGGAGGAATGAAAACTCTTTGGTCATTTCAACCCAAATAAAGTCAGTCAGACACAAGTTTTTCTCTGACACGATACACTGTAAGCCTGGAGAGGAGTGCTTTTCCAACCAAGTTGTAAGGGCTACGTTTATAAATCTTTGTATCCCTGCTGCCCAGCACAGAGTAAGCTCACAATAAGTGTCTATTGATGATGATGACAACAATGACCACGATGACAATGTTGATTGTGATAATTATGATAGTATACTTTATCTACAGGTCCTCTATAGTGCAAGTGGGTTTTTAGCTAAAAATAGAGACACTCTACCAACTGATATTGTGCTACTTTTGAGGTCGTCAGAAAACAGTGTAATTCGGCAGCTAGTCAACCACCCTCTGACAAAAACAGGTAAGATAATTTCTTTTAACCAAGAAGGTTTCTCAGGCCTTGGCTAATCAAGTAGTTTCTGTCTTTATGATTTTCATGAGTATACTCCCCAATTTTTCATGTTTTGTCTTCAGTTCACTAAATATATGTTTATTAACATCCTCAGCTCCAGATCATCTGAAGAAAATGTAAAGGTGAATATAAAGAAACTAGGCTTTCATTAAAGGAAAACTTCTGGAGCACTCACTGGATATTATGATGATATCCTACCTACTCCCTAGAAGAGTGTGCTTATCTCCAAGAGTTCAGATTACTGGCTGTTTTCAGGGGTGGGCAGCCTTTGAGGTTCTAGGGTTCAGTGAGCGCTGACTTATTGATTAGAAACTCCTATGCCTTTGTTCTACCCAACCATGTATACGCTTGCATTTTCTTTCAAGTAGGAAAAAAGTAGTTTGAGTTGCTTTCTTTATTAGAGTTTATAATTGTTCTCTGCATTTCTTTATATGTATATATACATATATATATAACTTTACTGAGTTACATGCAATAAAGTGCATATATTTAAAGAGTAAAATCTGATGAATTTTGACTTACATAAACACCTGTAAAACCATCACCACATCAATAGTGAACATATTCATCATTCTCAAATGTTTTCTCATGTAATCCTTTGCAATCCTTCCCTCCTGCTTCTTCTTGCCCCTTTCCTCCCTCCTCAAATAAATTTGCATTTTCTAGAATTTTATATAAATGGAATCATATAATATATACTGGGGTTTTTTGCCTGGCTTCTTTCAATCAACAAAAATATTTTAAGATTGATCCACATATTGTTGTATCTCTCGATAGTTGATTACTTTTTATTGCCAAGGATGGATGTACAGGTAGTCTCTGACTTACAATGGGGTTCTATTCTGACAACTCTGTCATAATTTGGTTTTACGTAAGTTGAATACTTCATTTTTGTTTGTTTGTTTTCATTATTATTGCCTTTTATTATCAGTATCTTTATAAATCCGATCTTTATTTGTCTTCATTTGTCTTTGGGGAAAACATCACATATAAAACTTACAGATACATTTTAATAGATAAAAAATGCACAAATCATAAAAATGTACTCCGACAATGAAGGAGAGTTGGATAGTGTTGGCGTTTTGTCAGCTATAGTAATAAACTCCACTTGTGGAAGGTTCTGGATCCTCTGGATTATCCCTGGGAATGGAGATGGCATTTCTAGTCAGAAAATTAGTGAAAGTTCTCTGTATGGTCCTTTTCTTTTTTTCTTCATATACTGCGTGGTAACATCTCACTGCTTCTTGAATCTTCCTATTGACTTTAGCAAAGCAATCAGCATTTGGGTCCATGATTTCAAGCAATGGAAACCCCTGATTTAGTTTAGAAAAAAACTCCAGCTAATCTTTTCATTATAAATTTTTTTGACAACTTCTCTCCTTCCTCTTCCTCATTGTTTCTTTCTTCTTCAGCTTTTTTTTTCCTCTTCAAAATCCATTAAGTCCTGATCTGTCAGTTCCCTTCTTCATGACCTATGTGCTGTTCCACATTGGCAATATCAAGTTCTAAATTCAGCATTCTTGCCATATGGACAATTTTTACACGGATCTCTTCTGTCATATTATCCTGACCAAGTGCTCGGAGCATGTTCACATAACTCAACAATTGTTTCTATATTCCTGTCATGCTTTTCCTGTAACTTCCTCCCAGGAAGATGCAATATTTCAGATACACTGACGGTCCTAAGTGCGGTTCGTCATAATTTAAAAGTCGTTAGGTCAGGGACTACTGGTACTATAATTTGTTTATCCACATACCTCTTAATGGACATTTGAGTTGTTCCAATTTTTGCCTATTACAAATACAGCATCTAAGAACATTCATATGTAAGTATTTAGACATGTTTTCATTCTTCTTGGGTAAATTCCTAGGAGTACAATGACTGGGTCATAGTATAGTTTAACTTAAGAAACTGCCAAACCATTTTCTAAAGTGATTGTTCCATTTTACATTCCTACCAGTAGTGTATGAGAGTTCTCGTTACCCCCATCCTCACCTATATTTGGTATAGTCAGTTTTGTTTCTTTTTTTTAAATTTTAGCCATTCTAATAGGTATGTAGTGGCATTTATTAGGGTTTTAATTTTTATTTCCCTAATCTTCAATGATGTTCAGCATCTTTTCATCTGTTTATTTGCCATCCAAGTATCTTCTTAGTTGAAGTGTCTGTTTAAATATTTTGCCCACTTTATTATGCACTTATAAAAGTTCCTTATATATTCTAGATAAAACTCCTTTGTTTATTATAGGTTTTGCAATTATTTTCTCCCTGTCTGTGGCTTGCCTTTTAATGCCTTAGTAGTGTCTTTTGGGGAGTTTTTGTTTTTTGTTGTTTTTTTAATGAAGTCTCATTTAATGATTTTTTTTTTTTTTCTTTTTTAGTTCCTCACTCTGGAGTCATAGTCAGGAAATCTTGGCCAACCCCAAATCTCTAATATTTTCTCCTAGGAGTTTAATAGTTTTAGTTCTTAAAATTAGGTCTATTATCCATGTAGAGTTAATTTTTGTGTATCTTGTGAGGTAAAGGTTGAGGTTCAATTTTTTTGCATATAGCTGTCCAATTGTTCTAGCACAATTTATTGAAAAGATTTTTCTTTCCCATATTTAATTGCTTTGGCATTCTTCATGAAAATCAATTGACCATATATGTATGGATCTATTTCTGGACTCTATTCTGTGTCATTGATCTGTTTGTCTATCTTTATTCCAATACCACACTTCTTGATTACTGTAGCTTTTTAAAAAGGCATGGAATTAGGTAGTCTAAGTAATCCAACTTTGTTCTTTTTCAGAGTTGTTTAAGCAATTATAGGTCCTATGCTTTTTCATATAAATTTTAGAATCAGCTTGTCAATTTCTACCAAAAAATTATACTTTTACTGATGAGACATTGGTGCTTGGAACTGTTGAACAGCTTTCCCAAAGTTAACTCATTAAGAAGTGCTACAAGTAGGCTCCAAAGCCCAAGTTCTTTGGTTCTATATTATATCATATCCACAATTCTAAAATAACAATGGCCCTTTGCATGCACGACTTCAACTATCAAGTATAGTCCAATTATGATTAGGAAAAAATGCACCAAATTTCCTTGCAGCTCACATCTCTTGTTTGATTTATTACAGGTTTGTTTATCAGGTCTCTAAAAAATCAAAAAGGATAGATTTCCTGAAATTAAGGTCTCTGCTAATTTCAGTTCGTGTTGATATGATTAGTTGCACTTTAAAAAGACTTTTCACTTACTGTTAAATAATTTTATAACTAATGTAGCACATTGCTAAAATAAAATTATTAATCCTTTGCTAAATTTACTCTAGTTTTTCAGTTTTAAGATAAGCTTAACACTTTTTGTTACTAGATGAGTAATATTAAGTACTGATATCTATGAAGTAATGCGTCTATCCGAATTAATGTGTTATTGACAATTTATATCTGCATCACGCTTCCAAGAAATCTCCAAGTCTGTGGTAATTTTTTTCCCAATTAAAATTTTTCTCTAAAATTCTCCTAGACTCCTAAAAAAATAACAATAAGCAAAATTTCTGAAGCTGCCTGCCGTAGTTTCCTTGGGTTGCCATAATAAAATACCACAAACAGGTGGCGTATGAGAACAGAAGTGTATTGTCTCACAGATCTGGAGGCCAGGAGCCTGAATTCAAGATGTTGACAGGGCCATACTTTCTCTGTCTGCTCTAGGGGAAGATCCTTTCCTGGTCTCTTACTGCTTCTGGTAGCCCCAGGCAATCGTTGGCATTCCTTGTCTTGTAGAGGCATCTTCTCTTGGAGGTCTTCTTCTTGTGTACCTTTCCCTGTCTCATTTCCTCTGTTATAGAGACTACTCAGATTGAATTAGGACTCACCCTACTCCTATACAACTTTATGTTAACTGATAACATCTTAAAAGATCCTATTTCCACACAAGGTCACGTTCATAGGTACCAGACATTAGGGCTTCAACATATCTTTTGGGAGGACACAATTCAATCTGAAGATTATCTGTTACTCTCTGTCCACTGCTGTGTTCAGTAAGTTTCATTTTGAAGAGTGACCAGTGCAGTGTACACTGTTTCAGCCCAGCATGACAGTGATCACACCCCATCTCAGCACTTCTCCAGGAATCAGGAAGGCAGCAAGCAGAGCACAGGCACTGCCTACCACATCCAGGCAGGGCTCTTCCTGCACCATTATCTCAGTGCTCGCCTTTGGCAACCACAAAGAATGTGCAGGATTTGCCAAAAACATTTAGCTTTTACTTACCAGCTAAAACACTGAGAGAAGAGGAGTAATCTTCCTCAAGTGATACTGCATTCTGGAGATATTTTGCACATTACTATTAGAATGATAAACTCTTGGTTTGTGGGTTGTGGTTAATTGTGCTTGGTGAGGAGTGAGAGAGAAATGACCGTGAACTAGGGGCCTAGCGGCCTAGCATGTGCCAGACATATTATCTTGTTTCATCAAAATTCCATGAGGTAGGCATCATTATCCCCATTCTGTGGAATCATACTGCAGCTCAGAGACTAAGTAAATTACCCAAGGGCAACACAATTTAAGAACTACATCTGAGATTCAAACCCAGATCTTTCTGGCTTCCAAGACACAAGCTGTCTTGGGTTGTATACATTTTCTGTGGCCCCTTAGTACCAGGTCATAGTAAAGCTTAACCTGATTACAGAAGATTTCAGATACCCTTTGCCACAAAAATAAGAAACGGGTTATTCCCTTTATCATAATTACCTCATATTTTCTAGAAATTGAAAGGAGATTTAACACTATCTAATACTTACTTCTAAGGTCCCTGGATGGTGCAAACAGTTTGCACTTGTCTACTAACCTGAAGGTTGGCAGTTCAAAGCCACACAGCAGCACCACAGAAAAAAGTCCTGTTGCTCTGCTTCAGTAAAGATTATAGCCAAGGAAACCCTACAGAGCAGTTCTTTACTCTGTAACACATAGGGTCACCATGGGTTAGAAATGACTCAGTGGCAAGGGTTTTTTTTTTTTTTTTTTTTTTTTTAATACTTTACTTTTCTCTTCCCCAAGCTGGAGTTTTTTTCTGAATTTAAATTTTGTTGTAAATGTTCACATAACAGCTTATCCCTATGATTCTCAGCAAATAGTTAACCAAGCATGTAAATATTAATGTTGTGGGATCAAAAGTGTGCTTACTTTAACATTTAAAAAAGTGAGAAGAATCATGTAGACATTAAGGATTCTAGAAGGTATATTAATTTTATCTACATTCCCACAGGTAATCTGCCACATTCTAAAACTAAAAATATAATAAACTATCAAATGAGGACTTCAGAAAAATCAATTGACCTGACAAAGGTAAGAAAATGCATTTTTCATGTCAGTGAATCTAAGACTCTAACCTTTTCAATGGTCATATTTGTGTGCTCCCAAAGGTAAACAGCCTTTCCCTTAATTTTTCTTTCTTCCTTTGATCTTTCTTTTCTGCTTAAACAGATATCATAAAGTTATCTTTATATTACCTCTAGTCACTAAAATCATCATGCATTTCTGGTATATCCCTAGCTCTTCTTTTATAGCTCTTTTTTTAAATGTTATATTTAAGATCCACAAAAAAATGTATTATCCAGGGTTAGATATATTCACATTCCATGCAAGACCAATTAAAATTCCAATGAGATTGACAAAACAATTACCTTAATGTAAAAGTATCAACATTTTTTATTGTTTTATATATTTGAATGCATGGACTAAGATATGCTGAAGGAAAATGCCACAGACTTCCTGTAAATCATGAAGTTCGATAGAGTAGATACTGAAGCACCACTGTCTTCCTTGGTCTTCTCAGGGTGAAAACGCAGAAGCCACATGCCATGCCAGAGAGACAACCAACATGAAAACACAAACAGTTGCATCATATTTTAGAGTAAGATATTAAGTTATATTTTGTATTGCCTAGGGATGTTATTCATTTTAAATGAGAGTTACAGATCAAAAACTTGTGCCAAATGTCAGAGTGCCATTAACGAAAGAGAATTTTTATTTATTGAATTTACTGTGAGATGAAGGATATATTAGAGAGTACTGTCAGAAGTCTGTAGGTTGGTTTTACTTTGCTATTTCACCTGTGAAATTATTGTATCCTAGGTCAGTCTTAGGGAGCCCTCCTGGTGCAGTGGTTAAAGCAATTGACTGCTAACCCAAAAGGTCAGTGGTTAGAAACCATTAGTGGCTCTGTGGGAGAAAGATGAGGCATTCTGCTTCCATAGAGATTTATAGCCTTGGAAACCCTATGGGGTCTCCATGAGCTGGAATCTAATTGATGGCAGTGGGTTTGGTTTTCGTTTTTAGGTCAGTCTTAATGGAGATCTATATCATGAGTAAAATTTATCCATAGAACCAAATGCACTTCCACTAAAATAAAACCTAAAATGGTTTTCAATTCAATACTATGATAAATTTCAATTCTCCTTCCCTCTCCTGGGTAAGTTTAGGATAGACAGATGGGGCACGGTTGAAAATCCATCTCCAGTCTAGATCTCCCTGCACATTCAAAAAAAAGAAAGAAAGAAAATTGCAATCAAATCCGTTCCAATTCTGTGTGTCAGAGTAGAACTGTGCTTCATAGGGTTTTCAATGGCTGCAATTTTTCAGAAGTCGATAGCCAGGCCTTTCTTCCAAGGTGCCTCTGGGTGGTCTCAAATCTCCAACCTTTGGATTAGCAGCCAAGCATGTTAACAATTTGCTCCACCCAGGGACTTCACAAAGATAAGCTGAAAACCTCAAAAGGAAAATAGAACTTCATGCTCTACTGAGGCACAGAGAAGAGATACCAGGATGCAGTAACATGCCACGGAAGTCATTCTGTGCTTACCTTAGCAGAGACACAAGGTGTAAACTTTTCTTCCTCGCAGAATATGGGAGAAAGCAAAGACAAGAAGCACTTCATTTTCTCTGTGCTCTGGAGAACACTTGATAACCTTCCTATTATTATTGGCACCAGTTATTGTTTATATCTTCTGATAAAATCATATTCACCAGCCAATGAAATTGAAGAAAATACAGCGTAAAACTTGGAAATTATTAGTATAATTTAATGCAGGGGAGAGGAGGAAATTGAGTTAAGTTTACTACAAGTGTTCATTGAATAAATCTAGTTCTCTGACAGAATAGTGAAAATACTTTTTAAAATAGCTGGGTATTTTTATTAAATATTCTTCAAGTCCTAATCTCACCACACACACTGTGTGCTTAATCATCTTTGAGCAGTGCCTCGTACCTCTGTGTACTCAATGTCTCCCTTTTGCTGCCAATACAGTCACCTTACATTAGGAATGCAACACAACTGAATCACCAAAAATATTTACAACCAGATAATTTCTTTCTTTCAGTGAGTTATCCCAACCCATTATCATACCACTGTTGCTGAACATCAAACACTCTGTATCTTTGAGCCAGAGTAGTTCATAAAATTGTTTTAATCCTGAGTTCTGGCAAAATAGCGCTCTAGGCAGAAGCACCACGCCATGCTTCCACAGCAAAGATCTGAAAAACTAAGCAAAACAGAGAAAACAGCAATCCTGAAACCCTAAAACATCAAATGAAGAGACAAACAACTCAGCCAAGCACCAGTGGAGTGAGAAAACTGGCAGACAACAGAGAGCGAGGAGAGATTCTTGCAGAGGTCCCCTATCAGCTAATGCAGCGCAGATCCGCCATCTTGGACTCCTATCAAGGACCAGCAAATGGGGGTATGTGAAACCTGCTTCACGGAGCTTCCAGCAGGAGACAGAACAACTGGTAATTTGCGATATATGCTTTCCCAACTCCCACCCTTCTTCACCCCCACTCGGCCTCCTCTGTTTCCCGTGGCCACAGTCTCTTGTCCAGGAAGCACTGGCTGCTTGAATTCCACCTGCCCACTCTGGCCGGCTCTCTGAGTGCCATTTGTTGGCTGCTGGTGTTGCTTTTTTTCCGCTTTGTTTGATTTCTTCCTTACCTCTCACCACCTCCCCCTCCTTTCGCTCAAATACCTGGCTCCATGCGCCATTTTTGCCTCTTCCTGAGGGGCTGCGGAGCTCCATTTGAGTGTGGAGCAGCTTCCCGGACTGGGCTGCTGCACTGGTGGGATCCTGGGGCTTTTGTATGTTTGTTTGTTTGTTTCGGGTTGTTTGTTAGTTTTCTATTCCTTTTCTTGAGTTGGGAGCCCGTTCTGCCCAAGCGGTGCTGAGCGGCTTGGAGCCTACCCCCTCAGCTTCTATAGATGCGCAAAGGGATCCATGAGGGCATTTCTTTTCTCTTGTTTTTTTTTTTTTCCTGTTTTTTGGGAGGCTTTTCTTGTTCTTTTTTTTTATTTGTTTTGCTTTCTTTTCCCCCTTTTTCCCTTTTTGTCTTACTTCATTACTCAGTTTCTTGTCTCTCTATACATTCCTTCTCTTTCTGTTCCCTGAATACCTGGCGCTGAATACCTCTACGCCTTCTAGCCAGGCTGTACTGCAACACCTGAGAACAACTTCCCCAGACCTCATAGCTGCACCTGTGGGATCCCTGGGAGCTTTGCTGTTCTTTTTCCTTTCTGATTTTTATTTATTCATTCTTTTCTTTTCTTTCTTCTTCTTCCCCTTTTTGTTTTTCTCCATTTCATAGTCTCTCATCTCTCAACTCCAACAGCTAGCTCCCCTAGGACTCTTTTTTGATCGTTTGTATGTTTCTGCCTCCTTTTCCTCTCTCCTCTCTCCCATATCCATCTTAGCTCCACACATAACAATCTCCCCCCTACATCCTGCCTACCTGTACCATGCACTTAAGATCGCACCACCAAAAAGCAGAGGCATGGCCTACTGGAACCTGCCCTGCACTGATTAGCGACCTGCCCTGGTGGCTGTAGTAAGTGCCACAAACCACCCATCCCAGTAACTCCTCTTCACCTAGACCTGCCCTGCTGTACCATATCCGAGCAACTGATCCTGCCAATTGGAGAAGGAGGCGAAAAGTATCATGTCCACAGATGAGCAAACAACAAAGAACACACAGCCTGCCTGCTCAGACATAGCCAATTTTTTAAAAAGCACAAAACAAACAAATCTACAATCAGTAAATGGGAAAAATAACTACAGAATGCCCTGAAGACAGCAGACAATATCAAAACATTTACAAAAACAGGACAGGATGGTTCCAGTAGGCGTTCAAAATAAAACACCATATGACTTTCCAGTGGAAGAAAAGGCACTAGAACTACCTGATAGGGAATTCAAATCTCTAATACTCAGAATTATCCAACAGATGAAGCACAAGGCAGACAAAAATGAAGAAAAAATAGACAAAATCATGGAAAATACAGACAAAAATTGGAAAAATTCAGGAAAATAATGCAGGAACAAAATGCCAAAATAAATTCACAACTAGAAATTATTCAAAAACAACAATTAGAAATCCAAAAGATAAACAAC